TATATTCACAATTGTTAAAATAATCAAGGTGCTATTCTTAGGTGCTAAAGTAGAATAAGTTCACAATTTTGCCATTATATTCCAAAGCTCATTTTTTTTGATTACCACTTTATTGGTCACCACAACCTATATTAGTCCCTTTTATATTATAATTTTATACTATAATTCTAACTTTAAAAAATTACCTTTATAGTACTACCTACTATCATATTCCCAAGCTCCACTATTTGATCATCACTTTATTTGTATTAGTCCCTTAGCTCATTATTTTACATTTGTTAAATAATCCAGTGCTATTTTTTTAGCTTAAGACTATTTACTTTGTTTTATACTTAATTCAAACTATAGATTCACTACAAATCTTATGATTACAAGCATTGATCCTGATACCAACCTCTTATTTAATGACTTAAATGAATCAAACAGTAACTGTAATTACTACACTGCAGAACAATCAAAGGCACTTCTCAGTGCCAACAACAACATAACTATATTTAACTACAATATCAGATCTTTAAGCAAGCATTACGATGACCTCATAGCATTACTAAATTCCTTACATGCCAATATGTCCATCATTACACTAACTGAAACCTGGCTAAAGCCTGATAGTACAGATGTCTATGCCATTCCTGGTTACACAGCCATACACAACTGTAGGCCAGATCAACAAGGGGTGGCACAGCCATATACTACTCAGAACCAACTAGAATGTATCACTAATACTTGCACAAGGGATGAACATGGGAATATATAATAGCTAAATTCAAATCAAAGTACCTACAAAAACCTCTCACATTGATAAACATCTACAGAGTTCCACAGTCAAACATTAGCCAATTTAGTCAAAATCTAGGAAGTATGATAACTGATGCACGCATGAACAAAGATCACTTACTACTCTCAGGTGACTTCAATATAAAATCTCCTGCAAGACCAGGACCCACACGTTACGAATTCACAAACACAATGAGTAACTGTATGTTACTACCAACAGTAACAAAACCTACAAGAGTTACAGAGACTAGTGTTTCCCTACTTGACCACATCTGGACCAACACCATATCCCCTTTAAAATCAGGCATAATTACAGATAATACCACAGACCACTACCCTACTTTCCTCATAACAACTCTTGGTAAACTACCCCAAGACACTACTAAAGTCACCTTCAGACTTCACAATGAGGCAGCCATTAATAACTTCACAACAGCAATAGCAAACATTGATTGGCACACTGAGCTAGAAACCTATACAGATATTGACGAATGTATTAATAATTTTCTAAAAAAAACCCAATACCTCTATAACAAGCACTGCCCTAAAAAAACTAAACAGATGACAGCAAAGAGACTGAACAGTCCCTGGCTAACACCCAGCATTCTCAAATCCATAAATACAAAACACCAATATGAAAAACAGTACAGAATGGGTCACATAACCAGAGACCAATCAAAACGTTACTCGTCAATCCTAACCAGCCTGATAAGAAGGGCAAAAAAATTGTATTATGAGAACAGATTATCCAACTTACGAGGTGATATAAAAAAGACCTGGAAAACCCTATCAGAAATTCTGGGAACAAAAAAGATATCACGAAATAGCGAAATAAAATTAGCAAAAACAGATGAACCCCAACTCCCACCAACAGAAACAGCAAACAGACTCAATGATTTCTTCTCCACTATAGGACAAAAAACCCTTTCCAATAAAATCCCAAGCTCAGATACCCCACCAAATGACTACCTCACCGGCAACTACCCGAACACACTGTTCCTAGCTCCGACTAACCATACGAAGTCTCCCTTATTATCAACGCACTAAAAAACAAGGCAGGAGATTTAAATACCTTACCACCCCTTATATACAAAAAAGTGTCACAAGTGCTATCACCAATCATTGCAACACTCTTTAACAAATCCATTGAATCCTCCACCTTCCCTACAGTACTCAAAATAGCAAGGGTCACCCCGATCCACAAAGGAGGAGACCAAACAGAGTTGAATAACTATAGGCCAATATCCAACTTACACCCTCTCTCAAAAATCTTCGAAAAATTAATTCATAAACGAATCTACTCCTACCTTATCTCCCAAAACATACTCAACCCTGCCAATTTGGATTCAGGCCTAATAAAAATACTAATGATGCTATTATACACATGCTAGAACATATATACACTGCAATAGAGAAAAAAGAAGTCCCACTGGGGATCTTCATTGACTTACGTAAAGCTTTTGATACAGTTGACCATGACTTGCTCCACGTAAAATGTCACACTATGGTATAAGAGGGCACTCCCTCAACTACCTCAAGTCTTACCTCAGCAACAGAAGCCAATATGTGTACGCAAATGGGGCAAACTCTTCTGCACAACCAATCACAGTTGGTGTCCCACAGGGAAGTGTCCTTGGCCCTCTTCTCTTTCTCCTATACATAAATGACCTTCCAAATGCTTCGCAATTACTCAAACCCACACTATTGCAGATGACACTAACATACGTCTTCTCTCACCCGAGCCCAGTCACGCTAGCCAATACTGTAAATACCGAATTACAGAAAATATCTACCTGGATGAGGACTAACAAACTTACACTAAACATTGACAAAACCTACTTCATTCAGTTTGGTAACAGAGCTACAGATGTCCCTCTTATCATAATGATAAATGGATCACCTATCACAAACTAACAGAGGGAAAATTCTTAGGAATCCACCTGTAATAAGACTCAAATTTCATACACATATACATCAAATTTCTAAGAAAATTTCCAAGACTGTAGCATACTATCGAAGATACGGTACTATGTTCCACAGTCAGCCCTCCTGGCCCTATATCACTCTCTTATTTACCCTATCTCACCTATGGAATTTGTGCATGGGGCTCAACAACAATTAACCATCTCAGAACCACTAATTACCCAACAAAAGGGCTGCAGTTAGAATGATAACAAATTCTCACTACAGGCAGCACACTCCACCAATATCAATACACTAAACCTACTCACCATACAAAACATCCATACTTATTACTGCACCTATTACATACATAGAACACTTAACTCTGATATAACCCTCCCTCAACATCTCCTTGCCAACCTCAACAGAAACACATGACCATAACACAAGGCACAGATCACTCTTTGATGTTCCTCGTGTCCATCTCACACTATGCAAAAACTCAATGCACATAAAAGGCCCTAAAATCTGGAATTCATTACCTGTAAATATAAAAGAAACACAACCTGTTTATAAATTCAAGTCTCTTCTCAAAGATTACTTACTCACCCAAAACCAAATAATTACTGAATAACTGAACATTATAAATTGTATATCTTAAATGTTTCTCACAATTATATCACATAAATGTTAAACCTAAAACCCAATCTAACTTTATTATTTTTAAATACACTACCTAACAGAATCACTACCTAACAGAATGCAACTATATGACCTGTCTTTGTAAATACTCACTTTGTGCTTTATAGTTATCTGTTTACATTAATGTTTTATCACTTGATTTTTCATCATTGCTTAGTAGCAGCGCTGTATAGTCCTTGTGGCTTAGCGCTTCTTTTTGATTATAATAATAATAATAATCATTGCTTAGTTAATCTTAAGTTAATTTTAAGCCAGCCCGTAATGCTATGCATAGTATAAGTGGCTTTGGCATACTGCTCTTATCTGTATTTTTTTTGTACCTCTGTATGTGTGCACAAATTGGAAATAAATAAATAAATAAATAAATAAATAAATCTATTTTCATAATACATTTGCTTTGATTTACGTATTAGTTTTGTGAGGATGTGTATCTTTCAGTAAATTCTTTAGCAATTAAGCCTAATCTAAACTGTTTTTCAATTTGATGTTTTTGTTAATAGATTTGAGGATACTTTTTGTTTGCCATAGGCTGTTTAGCCTTTTTTCTCTGATGTTTCGTTTTGATTGGACAATGTTTGTTATAGAGGTTTAGAGTTTTATGTAAAACAATTTTGATATCTTTATCGATGTTATTACTGTCATCTAGCTCTCTCTGCCAATCAATGGCACCTAGTGCTAGTTTTTGGTTGTTTATCCATGTCTCATCATGCAGGCGAAATGAGATCTTTCTTGTTTCTTGTTGCCTGATCCTCATCCGATTTAATCCTTCTCATTAACTTCACATCATCTGCGAACAGGGACACTTCAGAGTCTATCCCTTCCACCATGTCATTCACATATATCAAAAATAGCACTGGTCCTAGAACTGACCCGATGTGTGAGTGTATTTGTGTGTGTGTGTTTAGGTGTGTATATGTGTTTGTGTGTGGGGGGAAGGGCAGAGCGAGGGAGAGGGAGAGAAAGGGAGAGGGAGAGAGAGAGAGGAAAGGGTGATCTGGTGAAAAGGGAGAGAAAGAGGGGAATAAAGGAAGAGAGAAGGAGGGAGAGAGAAAGGGAAGGAGGAAAGGAGACAAGGGGAAAGAAGAAAGAGGGGAGAGCGAGACGGGGGAACGTAGGAGGAAAGGGGGGCAGAGTGAGAGATAGAGCTAGTGTATATGTGTGTGTGTGTGTTTATGATAAACATTTGTAATAAACGAATAAAATAATTCAATGGAGTGACGGAGCTTTGAAGCTTTGGTCTGGTTGTCCTAAGATTGCCAATCCAATCTTGGCCAGGAGATTACTTTGTGTACAAAAATTGGTCCTAGCCACTAATGCGACTCAGTGTGACTGAGTCGTATTGATGGAGACCCTCGTCCTCAGACGAATGTGCTGAAAATTCGTACTTATTTACTTATTTCGTATTTGATTAATAAGTGTAAATACTTCTAGCTTCTTGTAACAATCATTGTTTTACAATTAACATCTTCAGTCTTACTCATTAACAACTCGCTTATTCATACTATACTTTGTGAAAACAGTAATTTGTGACTGTAATATAATATTTACTTATGTCATATAATGTTTAGAATAAATATTTATCTTAATATTCCAATCTCACCTGAAATCATCTGCCTCAGATGGGATAACCTAACAATAAACAACATCTACGCACCTTCTACTGACGTGATAAATGCAGTGAAGAGCCTGACACGTAGTACAACCTCCAACTGCACCTTCCTCAATGTGTCTAAGAACAGTGATCAGTGGGTCCTCACTCCAACCTCCATCAATACAACCTTCACCTACGCCATCTGCGAGTTCCGAGGTCCTCAAGGTAAGATGGGTACCTGTGGTGATATGACGATTAGTGTGGTGCTTTTGATTGGTGGAAGATGATAGTTGCAGCCAAAATTAATTTATTTGCATTTGCTTCAACATGGAAATCAGCTTTAAGACTATTCATATATGTACATCACAAAATCAAGTATTTTTATGTTGGATTATAGTACCAAGTCATGCTATCAACCCAGTTTAGCAGCAGACAGACTTCAATTAACGAAGAAGTATAACAAGCACAATGAGAATTTTTAATTTAATTGTATTATTTCAGCGAAATATATGTACAGTATAATGGACTGTATAAAGTCAGACACATGATGAGTATTCCTCAGCACAGGTTGCGAAGTATGAAGACACACTTAAATCCCATAAAATCCGTTTATCCAGCGAGACCTATTATTAGCTCTGTAAAATCGGTGACCTAAGCCTTGTCAAAATGGTTGGTAAAAATATTAACTTCATTGCTTGGCAACATCTAGCGAGCTCACATTAAAAACAAGTTAATCGTATTTACAAACTGCAGAATGTTAATATGTCTAAAGATTTTATACTTGTAAGTTTCGACGTCACAGCGTTGTTCACTCGTGTAACTGTTAATGATTTTTATCTTATCTGGAAGAATTGGATGAGTTCCCTATGCCATTTGATAAGAACATTGTTATTGAGTTAAGTTATGTGTGGTTGATTGCAAGTTTGAGTTTCAAGGGAAATATTACTCTCAAAGGCAGGAAATGGCTATGGAAAATCCGTTGTCTCCGCTGTTAAGCAATTTGCAAATGGAGCTTAGTGCTTAGATATGTGGGTGACATCTTGTCGTTGGCCAAATTATTATGACGGTAATATATTTTTACCGAGACTTAACTGTCTTGGTCCTCTATTAAATTTACCGTAGAGAAAGAAGTGGAGTTTAAACTTCCATTTTTAGATATTCTGATCCACAGGATTGATAGAATGCTTACGTTTACTGTATATAGGAAGGCCACGAATGTGTATTCATATATTCACTATTACTTCGACTATGAAACTAGAGTAATAAGAGGTGTCTTTCTCATTATGTGTTTGAGAGCTTACAGAGAGTGTAGCCCTGAGTTTCTTGGTGAGGAAATTAGGAAAATCTTTGATATTGCTGCAAAACTACATTACCCTGAGGAATTTGTAGAAATTTCTTTGCTGGACTGAACCTAAAATAACTCCTCTTACCAAGAATGTGCTTGTCCTGCCATACAATGAGAATTTATCTGTCCTGCCGAATGCCCTTAAGAGAGTAAATATGAAAGTTATTTTTAAGAATTCATGGACTGTTAAGAGTATGTTGATCAAGAACTCCCCCTCAACACTGTGTAAGTGGTTTATACAGGATAGGATGCCAAGGCTGCAACTTATCTTGTGTGTGGGACAGACTGGCAAACCTCTAAATGTTGGAATTACACAACATCAGTATTTAGTAAGGACGGCTCAAGAAATGCAGCATTCAACCACACATGACCTTGCAACAATCCTGCTAAGTGGTTGGAAGCCATAGTCATAGTTACATGAACTTCATGGCAAGAAATATTTTAGAGTCAGCAATTATAAAACGTGAAAAACATTAATTATATAAGGGTAGTTGTGGGTTTTTCATCCAAGTTGGTTTATAATTGTAGTTACTATACATAACCTAAAATTGTATTTGTATACGAATGCACTAGTTTGTCTTAAGTGCCATGGTTCCACTTCAAGGAATTAGGTCCTGTCTATCCTGCTATCCTGGGTTCGACCAATATCTGCCCGAGAGTGTGGTGGAGTAGATAAACTATGGCTGTCTCCCCTTAGGTGTCCCTCTTTAGTTTTAGGTGAGTCTACCATAGACCTGTTGTTTTTTTAATTGTGTGGAAAGTTCTTGCAGGGGTAGAGACTCAGCTCCTGGCCCCACCTCTTCACTGACCACTACTAGGTCCTCCCTCTCCCTGCTCCATGGACTTTATCATACCTCGTCTTAAAACTTTGTATAGTTCCTGCCTCCACTACATCGCTTGTCAGACTATTCCACTTCTTAACTACTCTATGACTGAAGAAATACTTCCTAACATCCCTTTGACTTATCTGAGTCTTAAGCTTCCAATTGTAACCCCTTGTTTCTTTGTCCCACCTCTGGAACATCCTGTCTCTGTCCACCTTATCTATTCCACTCAGTATTTTGTGCGTCGTTATCATGTCTCCCCTGACCCTCCTGTCCTCCAGTGTCGTCAGACCGATTTCCCTTAATCTTTCTTCATAGGACATTCCCCTTAGCTCTGGAACTAGCCTTGTTGCAAACCTTTGCATTTTCTCTAATTTCTTGATGTGTTTGACCAGGTGTGGGTTACAAACTGGTGCTGCATACTCCAGTATGGGCCTGACGTACACAGTGTATGAAGTCTTGAACGATTCCTTACAGAGGTACCCAAACACTATTCTCAGGTTTGCCAAGCAATCATATGCCGCAGCAGTTATCTGGTTAATGTGTGTTAATGGCGATGTACTCAGTATTATACTCACTCCTAGGTCTCTCTCCTTGAGTGAGGTTTGCAGCCTTTGGCCTCCTAGCCTATACTCTGTCTGCGGTCTTCTTTGCCCTCCTCCGATCTTCATGACTGCATTTTGCATGGTTAAATTCTAGGCACCAGTTGCTGGACCACGCATCCAGCTTGTCCAGGTCTCTTTGTAGACCTGTCTGGTCTGCATCTGATTAAATTCTCCTCATTAACTTCACATCATTTGCAAACAGGGACACTTCTGAGCCTATCCATTCCATCATGTCGTTCACATATACCAAGAATAGCACTGGTCCTACGACTGACCCCTGTGGGACCCCACTCGTCACCGGCGCCCACTGTGATACCTCATCATGGACCATGACTCGTTGTTGCCTCCCTGTTAGGTATTCTCTGATTCATTGCAGTGCCCTTCCTGTTATACGTGCCTGTTCCTCTACCTTCTGTACTAATGTCTTGTGAGGACCTGTGTCGAAGACCTTGCAGTCCAAGAAAATGCAGTCAACCCACCCCTCTCTCTCGTCTCTTACTTCAGTTACTTTATCATAAAACTCCAGAAGGTTTGGGACACAGGATTTGCCTTCCATGAAACCGTGCTGATTGTCATTTATACTTTTGTCCTGCTCTAGGTGCTCCACCACACTCCTCCTGATAATCTTTTCTAAGACTTTGCATACTATGCACGTCAGTGACACTGGTCTATAATTTAGTGCTTCATTTCTGTCCCCTTTCTTAAAGATGGGGACTACATTTGCATTCTTCCATACTTCAGGTAGTTGCTCAGTTTCAAGGGAAGTGTTGAAGATTTTGGTTAGTGGCATACATAGTGTCCCTGCTTCCTCTCTAAGGACCCACGGAGAGATGTCAGGTCCCACTGCCTTTGAGGTATCAGAGTCACTTAGGAGCTTCTTCATCTCCTCCTCAGTTGTGTGTAATTCATCCAACACTTGTTGGTATATCCCTTACTGATGTACCCCACTCTTTTTTCTTCCTAGTGTCCCTTCGGCCTTCACTCTAAATTCTTTCTGAAATCTCATGTTGAGCTCCTCACATACTTCCTAGTCATTTCTTGTGAGCTCCCCACCTACTTTCCTCAGCCTGATTACCTGGTCCTTGACAATTGTCTTCCTCCTGATGTGGCTGTAGAGTAGTTTCGGGTCAGATTTGACTTTCGATGCTATGTCATTTTCGTGCTGCCGCTGCACCTTCCTCCTTATTTGTGCATACTTGTTTCTGGCTTGTCGACTAATCTCTTTATTTTCCTGAGTCCTTTGCCTTCTGTACTTTTTCCATTCTCCAGAGCACTTAGTTTTTGCCTCCCTGCACCTTCGGGTAAACCAAGGGCTCGTTCTGTCCTTCCCATTATTTCTGTTATACTGGGGAACAAACCTTTCCTCGGCCTCCTTGCATTTTGTTGTTTACAAAGTCCATCATCTCGTTTACTAATTTTCCTGCTAACGCCTGTTCCCACTGAACCTCCTGCAGGAAGGTTCTCATTCCTGTGTAGTCTTCCCTTTTATAGTTTAGCTTTTCCCTTTCTACTCCTGTTACCCTCTCCACTTTTAGCTCCACGATGTATTCAAAGCTCATAACCATGTGGTCACTAGCTCCAAGGAGCCTTTCATATGTGATGAGCTCAATGTCTGAGCTACTCAGGGTGAACACAAGGTCCAGTCTTGCTGGTTCATCCTCCCCTCTCTCTCTGGTAGTGTTCCTAACATATTGGTGCATGAAATTTGCCAGCACCATATCCATCATCTTGGCTCTCCATGTTTGGGGACCCCTATGTGGCTCCAGGTTTTCGCAATCAATCTCCCTGTGATTGAAGTCGCCCATGACAAGTAACTTCGCTCTACTCGAGTGAGCCCTTCTTGCCACCTCAGCTAGTGTGTCCACCGTTGCTCTGTTGCACTCATCATATTCCTCTCTTGGCATCCTGCAGTTCTGTGGTGGGTTATACATCACTGCAATGACTACCTTGTTTTCCCCTGACTGAACTGTACCTACTATGTAATCCCTTTTTCCAATCTTGTCCATCCCTTCCATTTTTTTTGATAACCCCACCGGTTTTTTATTAGTAATGCAACCCCTCCTCCCCCTATGCTCCTTCTATCCTTCCTCAGGATCTGGTATCCGGGTAGGAAGATTGCATCTGTTATTATCCCAGTGAGTTTTGTTTCTGTAACTGCTACGATGTCTGGGGACATCTTGATTCTTTCATGCCACTCCTCACATTCATTCATTATTCCATCCGTGTTCGTGTACCAAACCTTCAACTTTTTTTCAATAACTTTGATTTGGGGAGAGAGGTGGGTTAGGGGGAGCAGGTGCCCTGGCACGAGCCTATAGGGGGTTGCAGTGGGGGTGGGGTCTGTGGTGTGGGGTGTGGGAGCTGAGGGCCTATGGGGGTTTCAGTGAGGGTGGTTGTGAGGGGTTGGGGGGAGAGGGCCTATGGGGGGTTACAGTGGGGATGGGGTTGTGGTGAGGGAGATGGGGATAGAGGGTACAGTGTGTGCGTTACTGTGGGTTACTGTGAGGGTGAGGTTTGTGGTGAGGGGGATGGGGGAGAGGGTACATTGTGTGGGTTACTGTGGGTTTCTGTGGAGGTGGGGTTTAAGCTGAGGGGGATGTGTGGGTTACTGAGGGCTACTGTGGGGGTGGGGTTTATGCAAATGGGGATGTGTGGGTTACTGTGGGTTTCTGTGGGGGTGGGGTTTGTGCTGAGTGGGATAGGGGCAGAGGGTACAGTGAGTGGGTTTTGGGTTAGGTCTTTTGATTGCTTTGGGATTGCCATGGTTGTGTTCCTTCTATGGGTGGTACTGAAGGGGGTTGTGTTTGTTCTTCCACGTGGGCCTGATTTCTCCTGCTCTCCACCTTCCTTACCTCCCATTCCTCCCATCCCTCTTTCTTCTTGTGTTCTGTCTCGGTCAAGGTACACACTCCAGAACTCCTGATTTTTTTTAGGTGCACTTTCTCCTGCAGGATCTGGTTTCGAGCTGACTCTGCCTTAAAAATCACTTTGACTGGAAGCTTTTTTTCCTTTGCAAACCACTCAATTCTCTGAAAATTTGTCAGATGGGTCATGTCGTCCTCTCCTATTGCTTTCATGATGCTTCCAATCGTTTTTTTTCTCCTCCTGTTTCCTTGCCTCATAAGTTTCCCCATCTACTTCTTGGAGCCCATAGAATAAAATGGCCATCTCCCTTTTATCCTCCCACTGTGCTTCCCTGAGCATCCTCTCATACGAATTAG